AAAAAAAAAATTAAAATTATTAGTGATTAAATTACTGTAAAATCATTTATTACCATATATTTTGTCACTCAAATCAATAAAATAAAAACAGAAAGMTGATTTAACATTTTTTGTATGAAGAGTTTATACAAATATAGTTAACAATATGACTGATCTGAGCCGGACAATATTTATAGAACGAAGGAGAATAGTCAGAAAAAGTTTTTATTACCGCCATAATGATAGAAAATTAATAATATATTATAGACAAGTATTGAGTTTTCCAATAAAGATTGGAGGTAATATAATATTAGGTATGTATGAAAAAAAGAAAACTGTGCCAAAATATGCAACTATATTCGATCGAACACACAAAACTCATTCGTATTATAATCGACTTCTTATATTTAGATAAAGGTAAATAAATGAATAAATTAAAGATAGAAAAAAGTTACAGAAAGTACCAAGTATAGGTATTTATGTAATATTATATATGCGATTGTATAGTGTATTTTATACTTACTATTAGTCTGAAACTGGTAATATAGGTTCAAAAGCATTATTTTATCGTTGATCGACGATTTGATCAAATCCTCGAATTTTATCGCTGGGCAGATGCACTTGATTTCGCCATTTGGCTTGATATCAACGATTTCCATCTTACTAAARTATTCCCACGCCTTTTTCATATTTTGTTGCGTAATGTCGTAATAGATACCTTTTTTTTCGATGYCATGTATGTATAACGGCATAMATTTGTCCGCTGACTGTTCGCTGCGGTTACTAGAAGAAGAATTGGATGCTGCCATGATCGAATTGGATGGCTTCAGATTGACACACTGATCGTTTGCTYGTGGGGCAATGGATGGCAGCGAATCGCTCTCACTYGCTTGTGTGGTGGTGGACGGCTTTGATGCGTTCTGCAAGGGTACGGTATTGGACGGTAGCAATGAGTTTTGCGATTGGGCTTCTAACACCGAACAGATATTTTGCATCGAGGCCTGCATCACGGAACCGATTTTTGTGGGCCAGACATTGTTCAACGGCTCGTTCTCGAACAGCGAGTTTTGCATAGACGATTGCGGCGTTATCGTACTGTACGTTTCCGAAACGGGCATCGTGTAGTGCGAGGACCGCGGGAACGTGTAATGCGAATAAGTTGGAGATGCGCTGTAATGAGCGGACCGCGAGTTCATGCGAACTGAAGAAGTCGTTAAATTGTATATTTCTGTAGATGGCCGAGATGTGTAGATTGACATTGAGGGCTTGGAGCTGCAAGATGGCGTGGAATATGGGAAACCATAAGATGGTGTGGAAGACTGAGATCTTATATGTGTAAAATTTTGAGACGTGTTGGAATTCGTGGAGGTCTGAGGTGAGTATTTTGATACAAAAGACACAGTGCTGTCAGTCGRAGTAAGATATCTTGAATTATAGGATGATGTGGAAGACTGAGACCTTATAGAAGATGTAGAAAATTGAGATGTATTGGACGTCMCAGAAGTTTGTGATGTGTGTGTCAGCGAGGAAAATAGGGAGGTGTAGATTGGCATGGAAGACTGGGTGGTGTAGGGTGGGCAGGAGTATGGCGGAATATAGGGTGGTGTGAGGTGCTTAGTCCTTTTATGATATTTAGAAGTTTGAGATGTATTGGGGATCGTGGAAAACTGAGGAGTGTAAGACAGTGAAGAAGAACTGGAATTGTAGAACAGTAAATTTGTTTGGGTTGAATAAATTGACATGGAAGACTGTGGGGTGTTAGTTGCTGTCGGATAAGRTGTTGTAGAAAACTGAGACATTTTAGAAAATGTCGAAGTTTGAGAAGTGTTGGATAGTAATGGTGAGAGATACAGAGGGGGAGGACTGTGTAATGGAACAGTAGATTCAAGCTTAGAATGCAGCAGTGTTGGTACCTGAGGCTTATAAGACGCAGGAATGGTGACTGACGTTGGCATAGACGGGAACATCCAACTCGTGGGCACATACAATGACGAAGCTGGTAACGCGTTCTGCGCTGGAATTCTAAACTGCGTAGTTGTGTCATGCTGAACCGTTTCATTATTCAACGATGTAGTAAAGTTGCGCTGGGTCGTTTCACTCTTCAATGATGTGGTCGGTCTATTGTTCAACGGTCTGGTTATGTCACGGTTCAATGGAACGATTATATCAAGCGCGGTTGTGCCGTGCTTCATCCTAACGGATTTGTTGAAAGCGGCCATGCGATCCATTGAACTGCGATTCGATGATGAGTGGGCCATTGTGTGGTTCCGCTGTGGGAGCTTGTACTGTACCGATAAAGTGGTGCTCGATAAGAACTCTGGCTCGGAATTGGTGWGATAGAATTTGGCGATGTCAGAGTCGTCGGAATCGGTCGGCGAAGAAATGTGGATTTTCTCCAAATCGTTGATGTCCAAAGCAGCTGACCGATGCGGTGAACCGCAATTATCCATGACGATTAATGTTGTAGACGAATAGAACGGTCGGTATCGAAGACGAAATAACGAATGTTCAAGAACAGCACGTATCGGACTCGGAACGCATTATGCTGAGACGACTGCGCGTGGTTGCCGACCCGTCAGCGGTCGAGGTGGTCACCCCCACCACTATTTCGATTATCCCCCATCGGCGGGATTGTCCAAAATATGCCAGCAGTAGTTGAAATCCTGTTTGCCTGCGTCTTATTTCGACGGCGGGTTAGCTACAGTGGCGCTGCGGGTTTGATGGCTGGGTGTTGGAGGGCGGTGTGAGTTGTGATTTGTGGGATGGTACCTATAACATACACTTTAATAACTCGTGTAAAATATAATACAATAATGCATTATATCTATATAATAATATGTAGTACCTATAATATATGTGCCATGTTTGTAACGATTTAACGAAAGTGCAGGATATTATTATTATCTTATTTATATAATACAGAAACAAATTGTATTATTATACAATATATATGACATACGTATACATTTTTATGTATTTATTTTTTTTTGTTTTTTTAAAATTAATGTTCATTATTTCTAGTATAATAATATATTGTTGTAGTGTGGTTTTGATCGTCGATCATTATTAATTACCAATTTACCGTCTCTCCATACACGTTTTTATCATTTAAATATTAAATTTGATTAATAAATTATAAACAAAATTCCACATTTCTTGAAAATTATTCAACGCTGAATAACACCGTACGTACTATGAAAATAAATTTGTAACACATTAATATAAAATATAGAAGTTATAATTTGTTAACAATATTTTTTTTCACTATAATTATTGCTCAAAATTAAATACATATGTGCCATATTGTTCTAAACGGAAAACACATACACAATATTGTAATATTATAATGACAAAATATATAATATTGGCTATATATTATGTTAATCTAATTATTTTATAAAATTATCGATGGAAGTATAATTAAATACAGTAAGACATAACTAATCGAAACACAATTCTTATGATAATTAAAATAAACTCCGATCACAATACATTATTTTTAAGTCAATAAAATAAAAAGTAATTTAAAAACGTAATATTATTATTTTTAAATTTTAGAATGATGCGTGCAACTAATCACTATGGAATTGGAAATAGTAATTTACTTGTAAACGATATCTGGTGATGCGATAAGAATACTGAAAAAATATTATTTTACTATTTTAATTTTCTATAAATGTACTATAAAACCGAAATGGGTTATTTGTGAATTTGTTTTTCTAGGTGAAGAAATTTACATGTGGTAATAACCACACACTGACTGTCAATATATTTCGTTGTCATTGGTGGGAGGGCGAGATTGGGAATGACGCTGATTTTTTAACATGCACTAGTTGATTATTATAAATATGATTTATAGTTATACTTATACAARATCTATTTATGACACAGACACAGGCACACACACATATGAATAGCCATAGTGCCAAGGCTATTGAGACAACACTTAAATAACTATAGGYATATTATTCCATTTTTATTAAACTGTGACATTTCAAACATGATATTTTGGATAATKTCGTGTTATAGAAGGTAGGTAAAGGTACTATAAAAATAATCCATTTTTTTTWAAAATAAAATAAGATCACTGCAGGCTATTTATCCGGGAAAACGATTCTATGAAATGTCAATTTTTTTTTTTAATCAAAGATTTTAGTATGTAGAAATACTCTGTTATGGACTAACACATATTGCAAACAGATTTATCGATTTATTTAACCGCAGTGGTCATATATCAATAGTTAGTATATAAATTACAGTATAATATAGTTTAAATTCAAACAAACTGTTATTCGTTGAAATCTATTCAATAAATGTTAGTTTAAAAAAAAGGTCAATTCCATTGAATGCCTATTTTATTAATATTAGGCATATACTATATACAATATGAACATGCAGACTTCGGGATCGTTTTTCCTGCAGCGAAACGTGTCTTCGGACACATTCGACATCTGCAACACTAGCCGTGGCGTCTTTATATACTTGAAATTCTGTCTCAACATGTGCGTGTATTATATTATTATTATCACTATTGTAATTATGTATCCTATATAATACATAATATCACAGTCTATCTATCGTATATAACATATTATTCTGTCTTCGTTTGATGTATTCAGCGCGTTATATACATTGCAGTTATCATCTATAGAGAATCATCGTGGGATTTTTAACTTCTGTGTGATATGATGTTTATATATATATATAATGTATTATGTATAAGATCTGTTTCTCACATATCCCCTCACAGTGGAAAATATATACACGGGGTGATTATTTATTGTACTGTGAAGCGGTCGACAACTTATCCGCACTGCGCGATGGACACCATTAATCAATAATTCTTTTCACATATTTTTTGTTCAATATRTACACTCAAATAAAGGACTTATATTAATAATAAACAACCCGTGTAATTTGACGATTTTTATCGTAAAATCGTGTTCACCCTCTCGAGTTTTAAATCAGTGGGATGCCACAGCGATAATAATATAATAATAATAATACTTATAGTAATATTATTATTATTATTATTATATTGCGATATGCGACCGTTGTAGGTGCTGCAAATAAAAGCGACTACCCTGAGGCGGCGCCATCGCCGTCGCCATCACCCGCTCATCCATAAAGCGAACATATCGTTCTGAGGCATGATGGCGTCGATCGCGTCTAGATCTAATGAAATCATTACAGGTCTTTTTTTAAGGTGCCTACCTTTATATTATTCTACGCTCAGAATATACCTAAACGCTCGCCGACGTTTCGTTAAAAACGAATTATTAATACATGGTCGACAGTCATGATGTTTCGGTCTGTGCGGGGCCACGTTATAAAGGCATCTGTATACACTATAATAATATATATTATACACTTGTATAATAAATTATGTACCAGGGCTATTCGACATCTCTACCCTACATGACCGCCCGTTGTTATTTAACGGCTTGGAAATGTAGAAATAGTCGAGAACACTTCTCTTCTTCTTCTTCTTCTTTTTTTTTTTTTTGAAGATACGAACAGTTTAAGTTTTTGTAAACTAAAACACTCATATATTTATATATATATACAAGGTTTACAATATTTGAGTTTAGTGTATAAACATACAAATTGTTTTTTTCCAATCATATTTTTAAAAACTATCCAAATATAGGCATGCGGTGTCATTTCGTATAAAATAAACATTATATTTAAGTATTTTATCATCGGTTAAAAAATATTATTTTAGATTTTGAGCTTGTAATTTAATATAATTGTATTTATTATCATACTGGTGCTTACTAATATAATATCGGTCTTTGTCAATAATAAGGCTAATCGTTTATTGATAATGATAACATTTAGATTGGGTTCAAATTTATCAATTATGGTCTATGAGGACCATTATCAATTTTTTATCTCAGTTTGTATCTATATCCTACAMTTTATGATTAATTTAAGTACTTATGCCCAAGACATTATTATCCCTGAACCTAATTAATAATTATGTATTATTGAATGTGTACGAATATAGTAGGTATATAGGTATTATCAGCTACATACATACCTACATGTATGTTGAAAAYTAATGAATTAAACACGATTATACATACCTATTTTAAATACAAACACATCCATCAAAAGTCATGGTTGCTCTCGGCGTTAAACGTTTTCGCACCAACTCTCCGACTGTTGACTACACCTTTTGCTGCCATTTAACAATCATTGGAAGTTTAAAACTTAATAGAAAATAAAGCATTTTTAACTAATCTACTTACAATCCAAATAAAATTTTTTAKTATTATTTAATATTGAAAAAATTACAAATTGTTGTTTCAATGTAGATATTTGTATTAACAATACAAAAAATTAGCTAACACACGAATTAAAATAATTTACTGCTAGTCAAATAAGCTACTTGTAAAATCTGTCAATAGACCTATACCTACGACAACATAAAGAACATCATTTAAAAGATTTAATGAATATTAAAGTCGTATTTATTATATATGCCTGCCTATTCTAAATGCATAATGAATAAAAACAATGTATACAAAAAACACGTTTAATAATTATTTAGTATGCTATGAGATCCATACCTTGTTGGCTTGTTTAACTAAAATTCACAGCTGTAGCTACCTATGTTTTATTATTTAAAATCTAGCTATAACTGGAATGCACGTGCACTATAATTTATTACTATCTATGGATATATGACTCATTTTTTTTAGAAAATGATTTGATTTTTATCCAAACTATATAATAGAATATTTAAAAACATGTAGGTACATGTTCATTAATTATTGAGATAAATAATATAACGCATATACAAACTGTTTAAGTATAACATATATAAAACTAAGGGATAATAGAAGGATAAATATATAAAAYAACAACGAGTATGTAATGGTAATAATCAGTTGGTGGCAAAATATTTCAAAACAGAATATTTCGTTTATACTGAAGTCTGCAATTCATTATTATTATTGAGTGCAAYGTTATCCCATTAATATTTTCCTCATAAAATGTTTAAAGTTTACCAAAATGTAGGTACATAGGTACCTATTGTTTGAACAAAATTTAAATTAACATTCATGTTATAAAATGTTCTTAATAGTAAATAAATAAAAAACTATATAACATATTATCTATGTAATAAATATCTACAATAAACAGTTTATAAAAGTAACATATTAGGCACCTACATATTTTTAAGGGAATACTTTTAATTTTACGATATTTTTATTGCATAGGTAGCATAGGTAAATACCTACATACATATTTGTTAGCACAACTGCAAATGTCTACATTAATAGAACATCGAAATTTAAGCTGTTTAGACATGTGATTATGGCTAATGACAACATGTCTAGCGTTTTTTAGGTATGGAATACTAGTGTTATCTTAATAGTTTAATATCCACCTGTATAAGTAGGTCATTGATAATTTGAAATTAATCGGTGTGTAAAGGTTG